GTCTAATTACCAAGTAGACAACGATCATGCTGGCCAAGATCCATTATGTCCCAGAATATTGCCTGCATATATGACCTAAATTGTTACAATCTCTAGGGCACTAGAACATTGTAGGTCTGTGACTTTAGGGTGTTTCAGGGACTTCACCGCTGAGAAACAGACTGAGGTAGGAACTGGAACAGTTTCAAAGTCTGTATGAGTTTCAGATGTCACCACTTGCCCGATTATGTTCATCAAAGGTATAATGGCTCCTTAGACTTTCCGTTTCCAAATGCCAATATTCAGAAAGTAAAATAAACTTAAAAGCAACAAGTTTGGCCCTTTGGCTTCCGAGTTGTGTGTGTGTGTGGGGGGGTCCCTTTCTGGGTAACAAGCCAAGGACAATGGCCTCCTGAAAAGGCTGTTTATGCAGAAGGAGGTCACCTTGCTTGAAATACAAATGGTTCACTTCAATCCAAGGTGTAACTTAACTACCCCACTGGCTTCAAAAAGATGTTTGAACGCCTTGCAAAACTACATGGTTCTTTGTAATCCCGCTACTTCCCACTCCTTCAGCCTCTCCCCATCTATCACATTACTTGGCGCTAAAAGCAAAAACATGGTACCCCTTTTTCACCTCCTTGCTATTACTGCCTTAGGACAGCCTTCCACCATTCCTCTCTCTCCTCCATTTCTTGAACTAGTTCCCTTCAGTCCCTTTTCTAAAAGGATAAAGCGACTATTGACTTCAATTCTACTCTTAATACCATTTCCACTACCAAGACGTTTGGTCCATCCCCCTCTCCACCCTCAGCACACTGTTTTCTCTCTTACACAGAAGGCGTTCTGTAAACGCTTGTGAGTGAAGGAAAAACGCTCAGAAAACTGAAGTGCTTCGACTAAACTTCAGTGCACGCATGCGCAGAGACGGTGAACGCGAAACGTCTCCCAGAACTGCTTCTCTTTGGGCCCTCCAGGGGCCACAGGTAGGACCCAGTGTCCCTCAGCCGCAGCCCATGCGTCAGTGAATCCAGCTTCCCGAGCTGGACTTCACCCCCGGCCACGTTAACTGAACACATAAGGGCCTCTGAAGGCAGTTTTAGCTTCCGTGTCCATCTGATAAAGGCCAGAGCTGCCCGTCCCTGTGGCGCTGGCGGGAACAGAGCTCCAGCTTCAGAGACTGAGCCCAGCGATCCGGCCCATTAGTCCCTGGAGAGGAAAGCACCCGCGCAGTGGAGCGGCGGGGCAGGGCAGGGCAGGGCAGGGTACGGGAGGCCGGCCCGGGACCCCGCGGAGGCACGCCCGGCGCCGCTTTACCTCTCCATGGCCTGCAGGGTGTAGCTGATGAGCGGCCTCTCCAGGACTGGGCAGAACTGCTTCGGGGTGGGGACGCCCATCCTCTCTCCGCACCCCCCCGCCGGCAACACGGCGGCCACGGCAAGCGTGCGGCTCCCCGGCTCAGCCCCGCCAGCACTCAGCAAGGAGACCGAGGCCGCCTGGTCCGCGCCGCACTGACTGCTCAGGCAAGGCCCCGGCTCTGCGGGCCTGGAGCCGCCGCCGCGCGGTCCCTGCTCCATGACGGCGTCGGATGGCGCCGCGAGACCCGACCCTCAGAGGCCTGTGGCTGTTCCTGTTCTCAGCCGGGATCGCGTCGTGGGCTGCGGACAAATAAAGTGCTCTCCGAGCCTCCGGACCCCGCTACGGCTGGCCTAAGGGGACGAGCCGCGGCCGCAGCTGAGCCTGTTTTTCCTGGCCTCTGCACCCGGCCCAGCGCCTCCGGGAGGGCTGGCTTCCCGGCTTTTAGGTTCTCCCCAGGCAGGCCCAGCGTGGAGCAGGTGTTTGTCCTTACATACTTAAGGGCCACTTAACATTGCACAGGCAACAGAGGTCAGTCAGAACTCTTGAGTTATGTGGAAGGCAAGGCAAGCGCCGTGAAGCAGGCTTGTAATCCCAGCCATTCTGGAGGCTGAGGCAAGGAGAAACTCAAGTTCAAGGCCAGCCACAGCAATTTACCTAGGCCCTATCAAATAAAAACTAAAATTGCCTGGGAATGTGGCTCAGTGGTTAAGCACCCCTGGGTTCAATACCTGCTACCAAATATTACGTACATATAAAATGTTGTGACTGGCAAATGTTATTAAACCTCAACATCTGTGAAGAGCATCCTGCAGCCTGTGTTTCACCCTCAACTACTGGGATTTAATTGGTCTCCTGTGTGGCATGGGTTTTGGAATGTTTTTAAAGATCCTCAGGTGACCTTAAGGAGCAAGCACTTTTCTGGAACTAGAGAGTGAAAAGCACCAATGCTAATTGCTGATCACTTGACCACACATCTCATTTAACCTCCAAGAGAAGAAGCCTGGGATTGCTGTTTTTCTTTTCCAAAAGGAGAAACAGAATGTTTAAGAGATTCTGTAAGATGCACAGCTAATGACAGAGCGGCCTTCAAACTCTTATACAGAAGTGCTTCCAGAGTTGAGGAATCCCAGTCCTGAAGCATACCTTTCCCTTATTTAGTACCGTCCTTGATGGTGTTTACCATGAAAATATAGTGGAGTGTTTGGAATGCCAGAACATTATTGAGTTAGATCCTGGAAAGGTATACCACAAGAGCAGGACCTTGCTTTGCTTTTTTTGAGTTAGGTTGTGTGCTCAGATCCTGAAATGCAACAAAAACTTAACAATTACTGAATGAATTGCTGATTGAATAAATTAGTAATAATTGAAGAGTAATTATTTGCTAATTCATAATTATTAATCACCCATCAACAGCTAATATAAGATTCAGAAAGGACCCTGAGATATGAAAATATTATAGTTCTTGGAATAGTTTTTGTTCTAGACATCTATCATAGGCAGAATAATAGCTGCCTTGAGAAGCACATATCCTAGTCTCTAAAACCTATGAATATATTACCTTAAATTGCTACAGGGACATTACAGATTTGATTAAGATAAAGGATATTGAGAAGATGAACACACTCTAGATTATCCAGGTGGGCCCTACATAATCACAAGAGGTATTATATAAAGGACATCAGAGTTAAAGAAGGGGTCTGGGTGATACAGAGCCATGAGCAAAGAAAGCCAGCAACCTCTAGAAGCTGGAAAATGTAAAGAAACAAATTTTTCTCCTAGATTTTCCAGATGGGTGCAGCCTTGCCAACCCATTTTCAGACTTCTGATATTCAGCACTGTATTGTTTGTGTTGCTTTAAGCCATTGAGTTTGTGGTAATTTGTTACAGCAGGAATAGATAACTAATGCAGCATCACCCTTGGGAAGAACTCTAAATTTACAATTTGACTTTAATTTTCAAATACAGTTATACATGGTTTAAATACATTGATGTGATTGAAAACAGAATGCTGTTAATTTAACTTTACTTACATACCATTACTAGACCACGAGGGTGTGTTGACTTTTCAGATAAGCCCTTCATCTTGTGAATAACGAAGTATATTACATCATGTTGTGAGTATTCAAAAGGTGACTTCATTAAGTGTATACCATAAATTTATAAACACACTTTGGCATGTCTTGACTTTTTTTAAATAGTCATTATTGTTCACCAGAAAATTGCAAGGAAGGTGCAGAGACTTCCCACATATGCCCTGTCCCCACAGATGGATAATCTACCCATTAGCATAATCCCCAACAAAGGTGTCTATTTATTACAACTGATGAAACTACATTGACTCTTTATTATTGCCCACCATCCATGATTTACCTTAGGGTTCAATATTAGTGGTACACATTCATTCTATGGGTTTGGACAAATTTGAAATGACATATATTGATCATTAGAGTAACATACAGAGTAGTTTCATTGCTATAAAAATCCTCTGTGGTTTGCCAGTTCATACCTCCATTCCCAATTCTTACCTATTTGTCCTTTCCTATTGCTTTATGTTATCTTCTAGGGGTTTTGTAGTTTTGCATTTTGCCTTTAGGCCTGTGGCCCATTTTTTTAAATTATTTTTGTGAAAAGTGTAAAGTCTAGGTCAAGATTGATTTTTGTTTGTGGATGTGCAGTTATTCAGTACAATTTGTTGAAAAGACAATCTTCATTTCATTTTATTGCCTTTGTTGCTCAAAGATCTATACTTATGTGGGTCTATTTCTGAGTTCTTTATTTTGTTCCATTGATCTATTTATAAATACTTGCACAAATAGCCTAATGACTTGATTACTGGAAATTTATAGTATGTCTTGAAATTGGGAAGTGTCAGTCTTCTAATTTTGTTCTTATACTTCTTGACTATTCTGAGTCTTAGGCTTCTTCATACAGTGTGTCAAGATTCACAAAATAACTTTTTGAGATTTTTATTTAGATTACTTGGATCTCTAGCTCACATTGGGAGAAATTGACACCTTGACAATAGTAAGTCTTTCTCTCCATGAACATGGAATATCTCTATGTAGTTGTTTTCGAAGATTTTTCCTCAGTTCTATAGTTTTTCTCATATAGATCTTGTACATATTTTGTTAAATTTATACCTAAATATTTCATTTTGAGTGGTTTTAAGGTAAATAATTATATTATCTTTGCATTACTACAAAATACCTAAAACAGCTCACCTATAAAAAGAAACTATGTGTTAAGCTCAGAGTTTTGAAGGGTCAAAGTCCAGGGTTGGGAGGGGGAGACTTTGTTTTGCCTTTAGTGAGATAGGCAGATGGCTACAGGTCGTGTCTGGACAATCCATAGAGCAAACCATTACATCTTAAACCAGGAAGAAAGAGAAAGAGAATGAGGACCCATGATTCCTTTCCAGGGCACACCCTGTGACCTAAGGACCTCCCACAAGACCCCACTTCTTAAAAGTCCTTGGCACTTCCCAGTAATACCAAGCCATTAACATATGGGCCAACAGGGGACAGAAGTAAAGCTATTAAACCATAACAATTGTTATTGTGTTTTTAATTTCAAATCCCACTTGTTCATTCCTGGTATACAGAAAGCAGTTCACATTTTTTAGTACTACCCTTTTATCCTGAAATCCTGCTATAATCACTCATAAGGTCCAGTTGTCTTTAATTTTAATGTATATAAAAGTCACATGAAATGGAAGTGGCTCTTATCTTTGTAACTGACAGACCAAAAATTTGATATTTTTGTTTGTTTGACTTGTCAGTGTGCACTAGAAGATTTATCTTACAGATTTTTTTCTATTATTATTAGAGAATGTTAGATCTAGTTAAATTTTTTTTTATACTGAAGATAGAATCCACGAGCACTTAACCACTAAGCTATATCCCAGTTCTTTTTATTTTTTTTTTTTATGTTGAGGCAGTCTCACTTCGTGGCTTAGGGCCTCACTAAATTGCTGCAGTTGACTTTAAACTTGTAAACCTCCTGCCTCAGTCTCCCAAGTCACTGAGATTACAGGTGTACACCATCACACCTGGCAGCTCTAGTTAACTTTTCTAGTATTCTACTTAATTTTAATTTTTCTAGTATTCAAGTAAAATCATTCCCTTTCTCAACCACACTTACTGCCTTAATACCATTTCTAGAGATGAATTTAGGTATTGCTCACAAATGCTAATGAATAGCTTAATAGTTTGCTCATTAACTCCTTGAAATCAGAGTCAAGGAAAATAAATGACTGATCTTCCACAGGCCAGCCCCAGCATTCTGTCAGCCTGTGAATTCCAATTCACATTCTTCTACTTATATGGCTCATGTAAATAATACAGCCTATTAATCTCTTTTACCTCATTTTTGTACATAAGAAAGATAATACACAGAATTGAAGTGTTTAGATAGGTAATTCAGACTAAATAACACCATATGACAATAATATTATTCTTTCATTTTCTCAATATTTCTTGAAAAGTTAATAATTAACTGCCTCAACTGTCTCCATTGTTTTTTCTTGAATAGCTGAAAAGGGAAACAAGGAATATTTGCCTTTAGGACTGAAAGAAAAATTTGACTTAGTTTATTGTCTTAAAGTTTAACACTCCCTAAGAACTACTTGGGGATGAATTTTTATGTAATATTTTTACATATTTATATAATAATTTACATATTATATAACAATCTTGAAAAGTATATTTTTGGTACCTTACTGACAGAAATTTTTATTCAGGAGATCTGGGGGAGTTCCAGATATCTGCATTTTTAATAAGTCTCTTAAGTGATTTTTGTGGTAGAACCAACTTTTAAGTAAACACTGAATTAAAAAAAAATTATACCCTCATTTGTTTCGCATTCAATTTGTTGAGGCCATTTATTTTAAAACAGAAAAATCTCCACCAAATAATATGGTATTTTCTTTTATTTTGTTTTTTCAGCCAAGAGTTGTATACTGAGCCGATCAGGAATTTCTAAACATTAAGCCTACTCTGTGTTCGAAAGGGAGTCCAGGGACCCCACTCTCTATTGGAGATGCAAAAACTATGTCAACAAAATGACTACCCATTTATCAGTTTTTAATAAATAACACATTGGTGGTAACAATAGGAGAAAATAATGTAATTTGCCTAATTCCTTTAATATGAAAGTGGACTCCCACTTCAACAAATTATTTATTTGATACCTCATTCATTTGAAATCATGTATGCCACATTTGAACTATGAATTACTGGTTCATTTCTTGGGGCTAACCCTGGATTAAGAGTCCTGTCTTGTAGAAGCCTTTTCTCCAGTTACAAATCCTCTGAAGAGCATAAATTAATCTGTCAAGCCAGAAAACAGTGGAAGAAACTATCAATTTCAGAAGTTTCAGAGCTTTTCGCTTTGACTTTTGCTGTCACTTGGTATATTCCAGCTTCTGATTCCATGGAAGCAAAGAAAGTTCACATAGGAACAGTAACAACTAAGGCAAAAATGTAGCTTGCCCTGATAAACTAGAGATTTTAGAAATAAATAGCAGGCCCAGTTTCTTATTGGCACCTAAGCTAGATTAGTAGTTCTTAACCACACATCAGGATCATCTGAGAGGTGTTTACTGGTGCAGTTGTTAAATTAGAATCCAAGACAAG